CAGCTGCAGCATGTCACTCGGCAGGGACAACCCAGTCCCAGGTCTCTGGTGCTGGTGATGGCCAGTGGGGAGGAGAACTGGGCTCCCCACCAACGCGGGAGCCAGGACAGAGCAAACACACCGTCATGTCACCACTCACCCTTCGCTGTGTCCCCAGTCGCTGCGCACACACAGGTGGCGATGGACAGGGTCCGGGGCATAGCCTTCATGGCAGCTACACTCTCCTAAAAGAGAAGAGGGGAAGATGAGACGTCCATGCCTCAGAGGCATGTCAGCGACCGCAGAGCTGGGCTCTCCTCCCCTGCTGCCCATCTCGGTTTGTTCATGGCCATTCCTGGTCCCCACCATGGATCTGGAGCACTTCGGACTCTTCTGAAATCTCCAGGAGATGCGGAGGAGGAGAGGAGGAGATATGGAAAGCTGCAAGAATACTGCAGCTCTTCTGGAAAGGGTTACATGATGTATCACCCACAGTAGCTGGGGATGGGATTTCATGATGCGAAAAGTCTGTCCTTGACTTGTGTCCCTGTGCAGCCCTGCAGCTCTCCAGGCTCAGCAAACCTCTGCCTGATGGGCCCCCAAGAACACCTCACATTTCCCATAGACACGTGCTTGCATGGATCTGGGCCCTGCCCTGGTCCACACCCCTGGCAGAGGGGCTGCTCTGGGGCCAGCGGTTCACTCCTCAGCAGGGATCGCGACCTCGCTTGAGGAGAGCCAGCATCCACCTCCATGCACCTCCTGGGTGCAGGGACGCTCCCGACCCATCCTGGCCACATCCCCTTCCCACCTCTGCTCCTGATGCTTGCACGGCGATGGGACAGCAGAGTCTCCTGTAGCCCAAACTCCCGCAGGAGGATGCAGATGCCCCCAACCTCCACCCTGCACGGGCAGTGCCCACACCGTGCCCCATCCCGCAGCTGAGGGGCTCTCGGCCCAGCTCCTCTCCCGCTCCCATGCGCTCTCTGCGTGCCGGCTCACCCTGTTACACCCCTTTGGCAGCAGGAGAAGACATTTCCCGCACCAGAAACCTGACCACGTTTGGCCCACATTGATTCCATGTTTGGTAGAAATATATAACCCGGAGCAAGAAACAGCAAAATCAAAGATTAATTGGATTTGCACGTGGAGTTTCTGTTACAAGCTACTGCCAATGGGTTTTTTTTGCCCCCCTTCTCCCCTCCGCTCCTCAACGTGCCCAACGGCTCGGCAGGCTGAGCTGTAAACAGCGGCGGAGGTGGGACCCCGGGAGGATGCTGGGGGGAAGCGGGGAGGGGCACCCCCACGACAGCGGTAACGCAGACTGGCAGGTACCTGCGAGCTCATCGGGATCCTAAGCAAGTTCTGAAAATGCCTTGCAGGGATTACAGTAAAGAGCTTTATTGTCGGGAGGGAGTGAGGTGGGGGTTCAACTGCTGAGATTTTTCAGGAACAACCGCCTGGAAAAAGGGAGGCAGCAAAAAAAGAAGGGGGGGGGCGGGGAAGAAAGAGACAGCTAATGATGTGCTAAAATGCAACAGCACCTTCATGAAATATTCACTGCCTTAAACACGTCTAATATTAAAGATTAAATGTCCTGGGATTTGTCCTAGCGACTTCGAAGCACTGATTTATGATCTGTCAAAAGCTGCTAACCTCATGATTCCTAACGGGAGCGGCAGGGACACTTCTTCTCCCAAAGGGAAGAGAA